TGCGCCATGCTTCATGCGCCACTTGATCAGAGGTAAGGATAACGGACAGACGCGGAAGGCGCCTGGCGACTTCGTCGTCGGCGCCCACCCCGCGGCGGAGCGCGGGCGCCATAATAATCATAAAATACAAGGAGGCCACGTGGCCAAATCGCGACTGCAGGTCGTTGAGGGCCAATGCGGTGACAGCGGCGCCGACCATGCAGGTCTGGCCCCATGACATCCATGGGGCGCCTGGGGACATCCACGGGGCCCCCTGGGAAATTCGCAGGAATGCTTAGGATATCCATGGGGGTCTTTGGGACATCCATAGGAGTCCTTAGGACAACAATCCTTAGGAAACCTGGTTACTCAACATAAGAAGAGAGCAACTTCGATGCGCAACTCTCCCCCGCGATAGTAAAATTCGGCCTTGCCGTCTCTCTTCCCCGACCTAACCTGCGTTGCTCTGTCGTTGAGGGGGGGGGTGACTTTTATTATCGGCGGCGCGGGGTAATCTCCTGGACTTTTTAGCCATTGGCAAGCCGGGTCGAGCCGGCGAGCGCGACGACGACGACGACGACGACCTCCAGGGCAGCCCCGCCTCAGGCCTGCCCACCTGGTGGTTCCGGGGCTCGTCGGCCCCAGATCCGGATCGCCATCTGGCGAGCGTTCAAAATCGGAGTCCACCGCGTGTTCCTGCGCCGCCGAGTCTGGGGCCATAACCGCGTTCGACGACGTCCGGCGGCCGCCCCACCCACCTCGATTCACTCGACTGTGGCGCAGACGTCATTGGGGCACTCGGTGAGGAGGCGCGGACTAGCAGGCTAACTATCCGCCGCCGCGTCAGAGCCTCAGCTGGCGAGAACTTCGACCGGGTTGCTGGCTGCAACCGTAGCGACGGGGGCCCGCGGCGAGCCGTGGAGCGATGAGTTCGCACATCGGCCCCTAGTAGCCATCGTGGCTCCCGCCTGCCGATCCCCTCTGTCAGTGGGCGCCCTTCAGCGATGGGAACTGCCGCGCCTGGCCGCGTTCCTACGAGGGCGCGGCCCCGCGCGGCCGATTCTGCGGCTACCCCGCGCAGCTGCAGATCGAGCTGGGCGGCTACTTCGTCGAGGAGCAGCCCGAGCCGTCGTGGCCGCGCGCTGGGCCGCCCTGGCCAGGGGCGCCGGCAGCGCAGAGCGTGGACAAGGTCATCTTCGACCAGCGTCATTTTGGGCTTCGGGTTCGCCGCGGAGGCATCTTGAAGAAGGCCCCGGGGCTGGTCTCCAACGCCCCGGAGATCCTCGGGCAGTTTTCCGACCTCCGCTGCCCGGGCGCGCGCGCGCGTCCACGTCGGGTCGCAGCGGTTTCGACGCCCAGATGTGGCCATGGAAGAATGCGGGGGGAACTGGCCAGGCAAAAGTGGAATCGCGTCGCCGTCTGCGGCGTCCGCATCTCGCGAGCTGCGTTCGCGAATGCGGCGCGCGATCAGCAGCCTTCCCAGCTGCGGCTAGCGGCGCCGCTGAGGGGGGGATATCAGACGCGAAGGTGCCGATCGCGCACGCTGCGCATGCAAGGCGCGCAATCGCAACGTGTGGACGGGCTCGCCCGCGCACTCCAGGGATCCAGCAGCGCTCCGCTGCCCGCGCGGCGCGCCGATTCATTGGGGGTGCCCCAGCTGTCGGGGGGAAATGGAACGCGATCGCCTCGCGCGCTTTCGTGAGTTTGGCAAGTGCAGGTTTGCGGGCCTCCGTGGTCGGCCGCGCCCGCGCGCTGACCGGCGCCTGCGAGCGCCTGCGCTGATGGGCTTGTTTCCCACCGCCGCCGCCGCAAGTTTTGGGGGGGGGGGGCGGGGGGCGATGATGATGATGATGATGATGATGATGATGATGATGATGATGATGATGATGATGATGATGATGATGATGATGATGATGATGATGATGATGATGATGATGATGATGATGATGATGATGATGATGATGATGATGATGATGATGATGATGATGATGATGATGATGATGATGATGATGATGATGATGATGATGATGATGATGAGGAGGAGGAGGATGAGGAGGAGGAGGAGTAGGAGGAGGAGGTGGAGGGGGGGGGGGAGGGGGGGGGATGAGGTGGCGGTGGCGGCGGGAAGCAAGTCCCCCACTTGCGACCCGGGGCCGCGTCGCTCCAGCGATCGGCGAGATCGGCAATCCAGCGGCGCAGACCTCGGAGTAGGAGCAGCAGACGAGGCTGCTATCTCACCCGCGCCCTTAGGAGGGCCATTAGCCAGCTCATCGTCCAGCGCTGGAGCTCAGGGTGCAGGATAGGGCGACTGCGTTTATCGACGGGGTCCGAGCTAGTCCAGCATCGGGCGCAGAGCCTCGTGGAGCAGCGCCGCGAGTTGCCGGCGCAGCTGCAGTGATGCCAGCGCCCTCAGAATGGAGTCGCTTCGGCGTCGCTACCTCCGTAGGTGTACTTCGCAGCGCGACTCGAACGAAACGCGCGTGCAGGAGCCGCGCAAACTACGCATCTGGTGGCGGCGTGCCGCCGTGGAAGGGGATGCGCGCGGACTGCGCGCAGTCTTCGAACCGCGGGTCATCGTCGACTTCGTCCTCATGGCGGTCAACAGTCGCAGGGGGCGTTGAAACATGCGACCGCCGCGCGCCGCGCCACCCCTATACTCCGCCTCTCGACGCGATTCAGCCGGCGCGTCGAGTGCGACGCCCTGTTCTACAAGGATCGCACGATCATCCGCCTGATCTGTTGCGCCTCGCGGCGGCGTGGCGGTCGGAGGGTCGCGCCCAAGCGCGACTCGGCGCTGCTTGCCGCCGTCGACCGCTCATGTGTCCAGTTTCGGCCCGATGGAGACTTTGATGGTGGGCGGCGAGGGCGGGGCGACCTCCGTGTACTTCGTGGAAGAGATGAAGAGGAGAGGAGTGCAGGTTGACATGCGTGCTCCGCGCAAGCGCGCTCGTTTTGTCAAGCGGCGCGGGGCCGTGCTGCGACGGGGACTTCCGCGGGAGAGCAGTTGGGGCGTGGAGGCGTCGCGGCGAATTTCGACTCCATGCTGGCATCTGCTGCCATCCTTGCTGGCAATGGCCGCGCCCACGTGGGCGGCGCTGCGCCGTGCAACGTCGTCTTTGGGCGGTGGCCGCCCATGCTGCCGCCGCTGAAAGCCGGCGATCAGGGTGAGGCATCCGGCGACTGCGTCGCCGGCGCCGAGCCTCCAGCTGGTCGGGGAGTGCAGCGCGCCCAAGGGATAGCATTGCAGCGCGCGATCGATGGCGCCGCATCGATCGCGAGCGTCAGCCGTGCCCTCGAGGCCCGCGTCGCCGAGACTGGGGAAGGCCATTTCAGCGTGAAGCAAGGTGGCGGCCATTCACAGCCGCGCCGAGATGGTCTGCAGACTCCAAGACGCCCAGGCCTCTAACGGTGCCGTCTTCGACGAGATGGGCGTCGACGTGGCGCGAGCAGGCTTGGCCTGGGCCGCGCGGGGGGCTGCCTGGAGCGCGTGGCTCCGGGCTCTGGAGCCAGAACTTTCGGCCGCTGGGAGGGCGCCAAGGGCGCGCAGCTCACCGTGCAGGCACGACAACGCCCAGACGTCCTTGAAGCCTTGCGCCATCTTTCCCGCAGATGCTCTCAGCTACCAGGCGTTCGCGCTGGACGACTCATTCGCAGAAGGAAGCCTGTGGGCGAGTGGCCAGGTTTGCACCCGCCGCTTGGCCATCTGGTTGTTTTTTTCCGGAACCCTGCCGACGTCCGGCGCGTTCACCTCGACGGGCGTCGCATTCGACCTTCGCTGGCTCATCGGCGAGCATTAGATGGAAGTTCGCCGCGTCCAACAGGGGGTGTTGGCAGTTTGGCGCGAAGTCGAGGGGGCAGATGATCTGGCCCAGGAGCTGGGGGGGCTGTCGAGCGCCGACGGGCGGCGCGCCGCGGCCGACCAAATTCGGCTTGAAGCCGCGCGAGTGGCCCGGGCGCTCCGAGACGCAGCGCCATCTTCCATGCACCCACGCGCAGCGCCGCTATTGCTTGCGCGGGGCCTTCTTGGGCGACTACGCCGCGCAGGGGGAGGGGGTGCTGCGTCTTGATCCAGTGGTGAGCGAAGCATTCCTGAGCTTCAACGAGGCTGCGTCTGGCGACTGGCGCTGGCTCTCTTCAGACGGCTGCGCCTGGCGTCTGCGTCGCTGGCTCTCCTCAGATAGCCGTGCTTCGCATGTGCGCCGCCGTCGAGGCCGCGGGCGTCGAGCGCGATGCCGACCGTCTGTTCAGCGAGAAAGTTGCGACGCTGTCGGAGGGCGCAGCAGCCGTCCTCGTGCCATCTGGGTTGCGTGCGCGCGTTTCGTTCGGCGGCCGCATAAGGGCGCCCGAAAGGCACGAGGTTGGCGGGGCCCCCCGGTGCTGCGCGGCGCTGGGCTTCCGCGACATGGGCGCCGGAGCCCTGGAGACGTTCGCCGTGGCGTCGAAGCGGGCGTCTCAGCGCCGACTATCCTGAGAGGCGGCGCGTCGCCCTGACCAAGGGTGCGTCTCCCTTTGCGTCGAGAAGGCATTCCTGCGAGGCATGGCCCATGCATAGAGCATAGATATAGGAGCAAGGTGAAACAGGTTCCAGGCGCGAAGAGTTTTTTTTTTTTTTTTTTTTTGTGGGGGGGGGGGGTATATATATATATAAATAAAAATATATAAAAAAGAGAGAAAGCCCTAGGCGATTCTCTCCCCGCCACTCCCTTCCTCTCTCTATATATATACATATATTATTTTCCTTCTCTTTCTCTATGTATTTCCACGTTTGCTTTCTCTCTCTCTCTCTCTCTCTCTCTCTCTCTCTCTCTCTCTCTCTTTATATATATATACATACATATGTATATGTATATATATATATGTATATATGATGTTTTTTTTTCCTCTTTTCCTGCGTCAAAGCTGCGCCGATCTCTCTCCCACCTAGCCGAGAGCACGGCTTCGCCTAGGAAGATCCATCAAAAGGACACCGCGCGCGCCCGAGCGCAGCAGAACTTTATAGCATGCACCGCTCGTATGTTCAATCACTCGAGCGGTTTGCAGGCGGCGGCAAGGGCGGCAAACGGCACGAAGTACGTATGTCCCCAATCCAACGTCTTGTGCGCGTTCATCTTACGCCACTGCAGCTCCGCCAGCTGCGCGCGCCACTGTTCGCGGTCCGAGTGACTCGGCATTCTACCGCCGCAGCGGCGGCGAACCCAGCGTTTGACCACGGACCACACGGCCTCGATGCCGTTGGTTGTGAACCCGTTCGGGTTCACAATTTCGCCTGCAGAGTGCGCGACGAGCTCGTGGCGCAGGTCCTTCGCCGTCCAGCGCTTGAGCTTCTTGAACTCCTTCACGGCCGAGATCGTGGCGCCCCAGGAGTCGCTGACCAGCACAGTGCCCTTCTTGAGGAGAAGGTGCATGTTCGTCAGCATCTCGTCGCGCCCCCGCGGCTTGCCGTTGAAGGCGTCCAGGGGGTGGTCGAGGACTCGGAAGAGCCAGACATCAGGGCGGCCCTGGACAGTTGCACCCCACGCCCACACCTGATCTTTCTGGGGGCGCGCCGCTCGCGCGAGTCGACCAGGCTTCCGCTTGTTCAGGTGCGCTTCATCCACTTGGGCGACGATCTTGTAGTTCTTGATCTCGCTCTTCTTGCGGGGGCCGACACCAGCGTTCCTCCGAACGGCGGCCGCCTTGGCTACCGCTCGGACCCTGGCGCGGGATTTCGCCTGAACGCCCCTCTTCCGCTTCTGCTTCTTGTTCGTTTTCGGCCAGAACCCGTTCGATGCCATGGCCGCGTGGAGCGCAGATGCAACCTTGGTCTGAAACGTAGAAACCCACCTATCGATCACGCAGTGGTGGCGCTCAGACTCATTCCCCATGATCAGTTTGGGGTAGTCGTACAGCCGCGTCGTCATCACATCCAGGAAATCCATCCACGATTTGCACTGCGCGCCTTCGAAGACGGCACCTTTCGTCAAAGACTTGTGGCTCTCCAGTCCAGTCGCGGCAGCGCCATGCCCATGCGCTCTTGTCCTTGCGGTGCACGACGTCATAGTCATTCCCACCGCAGCACGGGCACGTGTACTTGTCGGGGATGAAGCCCATCACCTGCGCGAGAATGAGGGCGAGCAAAGAGGGTACATTCGCGTACGCCCCAGTGTCAGCGACCCTTCTTGATGACGAACACCTGCATGGAGTACTGGCCGGGTGGCTCCTTCTTCAGGGAGAAGGGCTCGGGCATGTTCTTGAAGTCGCAAGTCTTCGCGCAGTCGCGCAGAGTTCCCCATTGGATGTCGCCCTCGTAGTCGCCCAGGTAATCCGCGAAGTGCACGATCATCTTGCCCGTCGCGAACTGCGCGGGTAGATCGGCGATTGCGCGGTGCCCTGCCGTATCCAGCCTGCTGACGTGGACGCGTGGGTGGTCGTTCGCCTTCATGTTTTCGATGTGCTGCAGCGCCTCTCCGAACGTTAAGCCTGGCGCGTAGCCGGGCAGGCCGAGCGAAGTCCCCAGGCTATCTGGCAGCACCACCGCGGGGTTGATGGCGGCCATGTTGCCGCAGGGAGAAGTGGGCGGGGCTTGGCCTCTCCGAATCACCAAGCTCGAGATGCAGATTGCTGCGGCCGTGTCACGCGCGCACGAGTGAACACGCATGCGCGCAACCCCAATCGCAAGCTGCGGTGTTATCACTGTCCACAACGGGGGGGGGCATTTTTTTTAGGATGCCCTCTAGACATGCGCAGTGGCAGTGTTTTGCTAAGACAGGTTTATGATTACTGTCGCGACGTCAACGCTTACGTTGCGCCGTTGCTGGTGTCGTTCGCTTCTCTGGGCGTAGCACTGCGACTGCGTTGCCTGGTGTTGTGTTACCCTCTTCGCCGCCCTGTCCTTCCCGTTCCCCCTTCCGCTGCTCCCTCCTCCTGCTCCTCCTCCTCTCCTCCTGCTGCTGCTGCTCCTCCTCCTCCTCCCCCCCCTTCCTCTTCCTCCCTCCTCCTCCTCCTCCTCCTCCTCCCTGCTCCCTTCCCCTGGCTGGCCCTCCTCGCTCTGCGCCGCCGACCCTTTCCGTCAGCCCGCTCTCGCCCCGCGCGGGCGGCTTTTCCTGCGCCCGCCGCGCGCTGCTGTCTCCGCAGCTAGTCTCCTTCCTGGGAGCTGCGCCAGAGCCAGTTCAGCTGCCTCGCGCCAGTCTTCGAGTACTCGTTGACCTGCTTCGCCCACTTCGTGGGCAGCTCCTGGGGCAACATCTTTAACCCCTGCGCTGCTCTCCCGCCCGCGCACACACGCGCCCTCAAAAAAAAAGCTCCTGCAGGCGCACCTTCAGGAAGGTGTAGTGCCAGTTCTCGAAGCGCTGGAGCTTGCGCTCGGCCTCGTCGCGCTGCTTCTCCGCCCTAGTGCGGGCGCCCTTCCGGTGGTTGAGCTGGTTCTGGCAGCGCCTCAGAGCCTCCTCGGAGGAGCGTGTTTTCGCTCGCTGCCGCCCTGCCTCCTGCCCCCCCCCCCCCCCCGTAAGTCCTCCGTTGTCTGCCTTTGCGCCTGATGCCGGTGAAACACCTCGAAGGGCGAACTTCACCTTGCCGCGCGGCAGTGCAGCCGCCCTCAGGCAGGCGCCCAACTCCGGGAGCTTGACGAGCGGGCCGAGTGCTCGCGCTGCATCCAGCCGGGCACGGGATGCAACGATGCGTCCCCAGCCCCCCATGAAGCTCTTCTTGGCCGCGCGCTCACCTGAGCGCAGCGCCGCGCCGACTGGGTGGGGCCCGGAACTCGAGGGCAAGCGCGCGACGTCCAGCTGTTGTGCTGCTGGTGTTTCGGAGCTAGTGCTCATGTTGCCCAGGCGTGTCGAGGGCCTGAATATTGCTGGACAGAAGGGGTACGTCCACCGGCCAACTGGCCGCGTCGAGAGCGTCTTCGGCAAGATGAAGGGTGACGGCGACGACTTCGCCAGCAGCCCCGCAGCTCGACGGCGCCGCGACGCTCGATCAGGGCGAGTACATCGGCGCTCTGATGCCAATCGGGCGCGTCGATCCGGCCAAGGCCATGGCAGACGAGCCGGCCAGAGGTCGGCTTCCCGACCTTTAGTTGCGTCTCTCCCCTGGGGTCAGCGGCCCGCGCCTTGTTCGCCCGCAGCCGCGTCGCAGCGTGCGTCTTCGCCCCGCAGAGAGCCGAGAACAAACTGCTCGATCGACGCGCGATGCAGATCGATTTTTTTCTGGCCCTGCAGAAGGACAAGGTGCGCATTGCATTCCCCCTGTCGGAGTGCGCTGAGAGACTCAGTGCGCGCGGCGACGGGGCCTTTCAGAGGAGGGCGGGGCCAGGGTCGGGCGCGGGAGGGGCCGCGTGCATGTGTCTCGGCAAGTGCCGTCGCGCCGGGGAGCAGGTGCGCCGCTTGGTGGGCGCTGTGGGCCGATCGCGCAAGCTCGTGTGCCGATCCTCATTCGGCTCTGAGCTGCTTGCAGCGCGCGGCGCAGCAGGCGGTCTGCAGGCGCGCCTCGTCGCGCTGCGCGAGACGGTGCATGGCCCCGCTTCTGCCGGGGAGATCGGGGGGCTGAGGGGGGGCGCGGGGCCGCGCGATCGTTGCTGACCTCGTCATGGGCATTGCGTCCGTCTTCAGCGCCCTGCGCGTGGGCCCAGTGTGGCCGCCGTCCGAGAAGAGTGTGGCTGGCCGCCCGTTGTGGTTGGCCGACCTGCTGCGCGCCAATCAGATGGGCGACTTGCACTGGTGTGGCACTCGGGGCGCGCGGGCCGACCGCGCGACCCAGGGCAGCATGGGTCGATGGCTAATCTTCAGCGTAGTGGGCGGCCGGATCAGCCATGGCCACGCCGCGGTCAATTGCGGTTGCGAGAAGTTGAAAGGGGGCCGCCCTGAGCCCACATCAGAGCTCACCCACGGCAGAAATATGGATATTATTCTCGCGACTGTGTCAACAGCTCACGCGGAGGCGAAAATCACATGCGCGTGCGACTTCAGCGGGCGAGATCGATGAGTAGCGCGCTCTAGTGAACGGGTTTGCCCGGACTGTGTCCAGGTAGTTCGCGGAAGTTTTTTGCGGGTTTCTTGGGGCATCCCGCATCGATTCAGGTGCTGGGATCAGTTGGCCTGCTTCGGCCATCCCCGCGGGCTCTGGCGGGGGCGCTTCTGCTCCTGCCACTGACGACGTACAACGTTTCGGCGTTTGGCGCCGCAGGGGTTCAATGTGCCCTCGGTAATTAGGAATGGAGTGGAGTCCGCCTACCCAGGGACATGCCGAGATCGGATGAATCTGTCCCCTCGCGGCAAGGCAGCTTGTATGAAGGGGCGTTTCATGGAGTCCTCCTGTTGCGTTGGTGCTTTGGAAGGCGCGGCGGACTTGCTTGAGCACCAGTCTCGTACGGTAGCTCCGTGTCCAGTGCCCGGTTTCTCACCTTTGCTGTCCTTCTGCGCTGTCTCGGATCCAGGCTCGATCAGTGCGCTGCGCCCGCCTTACACGCGCCTTAGGCATATCGCTTAACACGATCCTGCGCTGTACTTCTTTTACGGAAGACATCCTTTTCTTTTTTACATCATCATTCCTAGTTTCGTCTTCCCCCTTCCCCCCTCTTCTTCCGCGTCGTGGTTTTGACGCCGATGTGGCTGGGCGCGCGTCCACCTAGGCTTCGCGGGGCGGTAGGGCGGGCTGCCGATGGGCATTCTGCCTGCGCTGGAGCAGCAGCCCGCCCCCGCGAGTGCAGCTGTATGCGCTGATTATGCTGCCCGTGACTCCACGTGCGATTGTCGAGTGCAGTGCAATCATTTGAATGTTTTGCAGGGGTGTCGTCGACCGTTGGCGTCCAAGTCCGTGTCGGGCACAATATATTTGCGGGTTGATTTTCATCGGGCTATGTGCGCGCGGAGGCTTTCTGAAGTTGTTACAGATTAGTTATCGATCGACCCAGACCACTCGCCAAGGCATGTGCCTGTCCCTTGTTGAGTTGTATGTCGCTCGTGCTGCTTACTTCTTCGCCGATGAGGCTGCTGCTCGAGGGCAGCTGCCGAACAATTATATTCAGCGCGCCTTTGATGCCGATGCGTTTGCGTCCGGTGCGATTCGACGGTTCTTCGCGGTCCGAAAGGATTTTTTTCGAAGTGTGAGCGTGGGGGGGAGCGAAACCGTCCCCCGTCGAAGGAAGCGCCATTCCACGGTGCAAGGGCGCGGGACATGACTGTCGCGTTTCTAGAGCTGTTGTGCGTTGCAAGATTTGCTGCGCAAGAAGCGTAATGTTTCTTTTGCCTGGCCCTTGCAAACCCAGTGTCGTATGATTCACGCACTCCCAGCCCGTGAGTCACTGCCGTTGAAAAATGGCAAGTTCCTGATGATGCGGGCCCCTCACCCGATGTCGGAGTTATGGGATCTATTTCATTGTCCTGCGGTGTTGAGATGCGTTTTGGCTTGTGGGAAGTGCGGGGGGTCTGTAAAACTCAATCCCCCCTTGCAAGGGGTAGGGAAGAAGGAGGGAACGAGGGTGGGAGGGAGGAGGATGTTTGGGATGAAGGACACAGGTTTTCTTGTGTTTTTCTTCGCGCCTGAGCCTTCAGGGGGGGTCTCGTCGCCACCGCTTGGAGGGAGCGGCCAAAGCCCGCCGCCAGACTCATCCCGAGGCCCGTGATTTCGGAGAGTGCAGGAGAGGAACATGAATGTGAAGACAGCGTGGGCCGTTTCATTTCGATTTCGTTTTGCTACGACGGCGAAGTGGAGACAGAACCAGGAAAAAAGGAAACAGCACGAGCACGAAATTCACTGTTTATCCCTGCTTTGGAGAATGCAGGAGGGGAACATCAATATGCAGACGTGGAGGAGGTGAGTCAATCCCACGTCGTATCAGCAAGGCCTCGATGCGCCCTCCCTTCCCAAGTCCTTTTCGCCACACGTCCCCCCAACATCCCATGCGCCCCTCCCCCATGATGGGCGAGTACCATGTTAGTGGGCGTGCCATTCCACCGAGAGCCCCGTTTCGAAAAGGGTCATCATCCGTCTTTCGATCTACAGGGAGTACCACGGGACAGGCTCAAAGTCCGAAGCGCAGTTTAGCCGCAGCACGGACTTGGCACCAACCACCCTCCGTCCATGTGGCAGTTGGACATTTGAAACTAACTGTAATATGACACGGACGCAATGTCAGACGGTATCATCACTTTGGAAACCAGTGCCCTCAACCCGTGCAGGTGTGGCACAATTCTGTAGCTCGGGCAGTGCAGTTGGGGGTGTTCTCAGGCGACACCACGATTTTGAAAAGGAGGCGCCTTCAATCACTGTGGCGATTGAACAGTTTGAATGCGAAGGTGCGCGGCGCTAGGTCAAGGACCACTGTCTGAACACGATTTGCCCTTCACCCGTATCAGTGTTGGACGTGCTTAGGACTATCCTGCGCAGCGCTGATGCGAGAACCGCATATTGAAAACGGCCCGCCCTCCATCCTTATAGAACTATCAGACGTTTCCAGCACGAATGTGCGCGGCGTGAAGGCCATAGCCAGATTGTGGAAGCTAGCTTCACTCAATCTTCGTAACAGTTGTACTTTTCGATCTCCACGGACGTATGTGACGA